AGGCACAAAGGACAACGACAGTGTACTGTTTGTAAGTAATGACCCTCCATCTCGTTCGGGCACACATGGAGCATACGTGCTCTTAATTTTTACAGAAACGAAATGAACCCTCCCGGCTTCCTGGTTCTTGGAAGTTATTTATTACTCTCTCTTTTTTTTTCTTATCTGCAAAATTAAATTCCACTGAACCTATCGGCGCTGCTTCATCTGAAGCCACATCCTGTGCCCTTCCTGCAGGAGCAGCCCTCCCCCCTGGCACGGCAGGCCCCGGCGTCTCTGCTCCCTTCTCTCCGCACCGACTTGGTCCCTCGGCGGATGTCACGCGAATGGCTTCCATCTCCTGCGACCACTCCGCAGCCCTCTGTCTGTCCGCCCCTCTGCTTCTGTTTCCTTCCTGTCCTCACGGCTGCCTGCATCGTGCACTGGAACCCACCTCCTCCGCTCCTCCATGGCGCGCTCGAACCCGGCCCTGAGGCTCCCCCCTCTTCCTGCCTGAAGTCACAGCTGACCCTGCAGGCCATGTCCCGGATGCAGTGCTCAGACCCCAGCCCACCTCTCCCCCCTCTGGGCACCACTGGTCTCCCTGGCTCCCATCTCGTGGCCGTTGCTGGATCTGCCTCCTCTACGTGACGAGACCCAGCCTTCAGCCCCTTCTCTGTTCGGACCCGTGTCCTCAGCCATCGGCTTCCGGAGGGCACGCCCGGCCACGGTAGAACAGGACGGACTTGTGTTCCTCAGTGTTACACAGACAGCTAGCAAAGCGGACGCTGCGGTGTCCCTCTGCCTTGACGCCTCTTCATCCTCTCTCCTAACTGCTGTCCTCGGGGCCGAAGGTGAAGGTCACTTGTCCGTCACTTGCCTAATGGTTGCTGAGCAGCTGGTACCTGGCTCTGTGCTCTGGGCCTTCACGGTTTCTGGTCTGTGCCCTTTTTTCTTTTTGGTTCTTCTTGATCAACCGATCCATTCTTGTTACTTCAGGCACGTTCTCGTGGCCCCGCAAATGTATATCTCCAGGGCGGACTTGCTCCTCCAAGCTGCAAGCTCAAGATGCTACCAACCGACTCCTCAACCTGAGACGCACACTCCAAATTCAACAGTAGGTCTGAGCACCGTGCGGTGAAGAATTCCAACACCCCACCTCGCCGCTCTTCCGGCCTGAGTCACACCTCGGTCCTTCTCCATGCCCCCCCCCCCCCAGGCGTCTTTCTCCGTGTCTCTGCCACTGGTTCTGACCTGTTCCTGCCCACAGCGCTTCACCAGTGCCCTGCCTACCGCTCCCTCTAAGGCTCGCTCAGCCTCCTCTTCGCCTCCCTCCTGTCCTCGCCCCACTGCCGCCGGCGCGATCCGCGGGCATGGAAACCTGAGTGTGTTTCTTTCTCGAATAGTATCTTTGATAGCTCTCCACTGCCTACGGAGCACAGCTCACGGTTCATAAGAACAAAACCTGGTAGGCCTCATCAGCTCTTCGAGCCATCGGAAGTTCTGGTCCAACGGGATGGGCAGACCTGTGAAGCCGACGTGTCCGTTCAGGTTCCTGGTCTCCGTGGGTGTTTTCATCCCCAGTGGGTCTAGGCGCTCGTCCATCAAGACTCGGATCATCCGGCCAGTGTGGCTCAGTGGTTGGGCATTGACCCTGCACCAAGAGGTTGTCAGTTCAATTCCCGCTCAGGGCACGTGCCCAAGTCGTGGGCCTGAACCCCAGTGGGGGGTGTGCGAGAGGCGGCCAATCGATGTTCTCTCTCATCAATGTTTCCATCTCTCTCTCCCTCTCACCTCCTCTCTCTCTAAAATCAATAAAGGAAAAAAAGAAAATTAAGGAAAAAAAAAAAAGAGAGACTCGGATCAAGCGATGCTCTGGCTGAATAATAAATACTTGACTAGCGTAGCTCAAGCCGATGGCACCCAGGATTAGACCGTCTCTCCCCTGCGCCGGAATACCTCGTGCAGAGCTCTGGATTTTCCCCATGCATTTCAAGTCGTGTAATTATGTGTCTGTATGTCTGTCTATGCCACTGTACAGGGAGTCCATACACGCAGAGACCCTGAGTGTTAATCTTAACATTTCAGTCGCGTGTTGTTATTTCGTCTTTTATGAAGAGCAGGGAACAACTACCGGGCACCATCCCTTCAGTGAATATGTTTAAACCACAGAAGCTTAGATTATACAACAAAGAAATGTATAAGACGTAATAGCTATTTTCCTAATTTCAGTGACTCACTTACACAGCTTTATAAAAAATTAAAATGTAATACACATACCATAACACCCTGGTAAAGGGCACAGTTTGGTGGTTTTTAGTGTATTCACGCCGTGGTGCGTGGTCATCACCGGATGATTCTAGAACATTCCTAATTCTAGAATATTTTCATATTCCCCCCAAGAAGCTCTGACCTGTTAGCTGTCCGTCCACGACTCCATCCCCGCTCTGGGCCAACTCATCCGCTCTCTGCCTCTGTGGTGTTGCTTGTCGGGCCGTCTGATACCAGTGGGTTCTGTAACACGTGACCTCTGTGTCTGCCTCCTCGTACCCAGCACAGTGTTTTCCGGGTCCATCCGTGTTGTAGCATGCGTCACTCTTTTTTACGAGTCGATAACATCCCGTTGTGTGGATCTGCAGTATGTGTTCACGCATTCTTCAACTGCTGGATATTAGAGTTTCCCCACTGTTGGGGTATGGTGAATTGTGTCTGCGAAATTCACGTACAAATTTCCGTGTGGACGTGTTTTCACTTCTCGTAAGGATATAGGGCGTGGGGTGATGGGGCCATAACTCTGTGTAAGATTCTAAGGAACTGCCCAACCATCCTCTACGTGACCACACGGTTTTCTGTTCCCATGGTCGCCGCGAGAGTTCCAGCCCCCGTCGTTGGGACTGGAAGCTCCCAGTGGGCACGAGAGGCATCTCGCTGTGTCTGTGCCGGGCCTGAGGGCACCGCTCTGCAGACGCACGGAGCCCCGTTGTCTAAAAGCAGCAGCCACGTGCTTTGATCCGTGTGACGGAAACACATGCAGGCAAGCCCCTCGGAAGACAGAACTACCCCTTGTTTTTCCTTCTCTAAACATCTTCCATGTTTCACAGGACTTGACACGCTTTACATTATTTATTGTGCTTAAGATTCTTCCAAGATTCTCTCCTGCTCCCAACTCTTTGGGCGATGGAAGGCCCCCGCATACAAAGCTCTCAGTTAAGATTTGATGCACGTTCATTTGAGGGAAAATCGTTTCCGGTGCGCATCTCCCTGCCCAGCCTTCATGTAAACATTAGATGGCAGTTTCGGGCCAAGGACAGGGGTAATGTATTTAATTTGCCGTCCCTGTGACTCTAGACTTTATTGGTCTTACCTGTTCTTCGCCAGGTTACCTTGTTTAGGTCTCGCTTCAGCCGGCCAGCTCGGTGTCATTTCAAGACCGTGCTAAGCGTACTGCCCATTGCTGTCTGCTGCCCAGCGTGGCACTCCGCACGGCGGTGGGCTTTCGGAATCAGGGGATGTGTTTGAACACGCGGCAGGGTGGAGCGACTGTTGCGGAGTGGCTGTTTGTACCTTCACGCACCTTCCCTCGGTCGGGTCCTCCGGTGAGGCCTCTGAGCTGGTGGCCAGCGCTCCAGTCCGCTAAGGACAGGTAACTGCAGCTCACACACAGGAACGGTGCTCTGCCCAGATGGACGCCCGACGCTGAGGGGACGGGGCCAGGTGCCTCGGCTGTTTCTGCAGTGTCAGGGCTGCGGAGAGGCTGCTGGGGACGTGTCCAGGTCTGTTCCGCGGCGGTCACTGTGCCCTTGCGCGCTGCCAGAAGGTCTCGTCCAGGGCTGCCATGCTGGCCACTTGCAGGCTTGCCCAGGGCTGCTTTTATTTTGGAGGTTTTGAGCCTCGTCATTGACCGAATGCTCTGATCACTCACAGTTACTCACCTGGGACCCACTGTGGTGTGTCTGTAACTTTTATTATTATCATCATTATGAAGAGAGCATCTCCTCAAAGACCTCATGGCCTTTCCTTCAAACTACCACATATTTTACCTGGTTGAGCACAACCAAATTCGCCCATTCGGTACCACCTCACCGTAGCCGCCCTGGCTTCGATAGTACAACCTGACCCCCTGTGTGCGCACAGCTCAACACTCAGCCTAATTTGCGTCCCTTCACCCTGTCATTGGTCGCGAAGGTGCGTAAAATCGTAATGGTAACAAGCACTAACCTGTGAGTTTGACTCGTGCATACCAGGCTCAGTGCCTTAGCGACAGTCTCCTGGAGACGTGTTCGGGAGACCTCATGTCGGTGTTTTTTTACTGAGTCCTAGCAGCGGAGAGGAAAGTAAAAGTCACAGTAACACAAAATAGTCACTAATAAATTGGCCATGTAAGCAGATCACCTCCATTTCAGCGCCACCATCCCGGGACACGAGCTGGAGCTCCTGCCCCTCAGTCCCCAGTTAGTTGTATCAAACACCCAGCAGCACAGTGAGCGTCAACCACAAAGCCTGGTCGCAGATTCTGGGAAAGATGCAGACTTCGCAAGTTGATCAAAAATATGCTGGGACCCTGTTCGGATCCCAGGCAAAGACAAACGAAGGAGAACCTAGAGGACCCAAGGATGCTTCTCTGAGCAAGAGAAAAGCAACAAACCGTCAAAGGTTCTGTCCTTCCAAACAAAGACTGAATGTCAGGAGACTGGGGTGCAGCTCCCAAGCCCAAGCCCAAGGGCGATGGCCTATCGTGCTATCGGACAGTTTCATCCCCCACAGTTGGCTAAAAATGAATTCCTCATTCATTCCTCCTGCTGAGAAATAGCACATCTTTGCAATCGTGTGTATACACACACACACACACACACACACACACACGTATATATACACTCACACACATATACACATATATACATATATGTGTATATAAATGTCAGCGATGAAGTAGAATGAATTCACTCTCATGTAGTGTAGCTTGCATTTTTCAAGATGAATTTGCAAACAACTTGACATAACATCTGTGTTTGGAAGTGCATTCATTTTAATGGGCTGTTCCTTGCAGTCTGACTCCTGCCCCGGGAAGGAGGCTCACCTCTCACTGTTACCCACTGCGTATACGCTAGGGAAAGGAGGCTGCGCATGGCTCTGAACTCCACCGAGGTCACGGCCAGCCAGCCAGGCCGCAGGACTCTAAAATCATTAGGACAGTACGAGTGTGACCCATGGAGCCAAGAAGACGCGACAGAGACTTGAACTGCTCGGCTTCTGCAGCCGCCGAGAGCGACGTGATGGCCTGAGGTGTAGGACAGCACCCGGGGACTCACGGAATTCATCATGTTTACTCTTTGGAGTCAAGAGGCCTCTCCTCCCTTAGAGACAGTGAATGCAGCGGGCACCGAGAGAGAGCGTTCTCGAAGGGGCGCTCAGTGGACCACTGGGGACAGAGAAAACTGGAAAGAGGAGGAAAACTCTGGAACCGCACACTGTGTCCTCCAAGCCCGGTGCCTCACTGTGCGCGTGTCGATGGGCTGGGGGTGAGTGGGTCACACTCCCCGGCGGTGCAGAGCCTGGGGGAGCCCCGGGTACGCCCTGTGCTTGCAGCCATACCTGTGAGTCCCGACCGTGCAGGTGTGCACGCCAGGCACAGCTGTGCCAGGTTCCCCCAGGACATAAAGCACGTGCTAGGCGGGACACGGGCTGTGCATCACCTCTTTCCATTCCAACTGCACACACACGTCGCTGCGTTCGTTCCTCCTCTTCACCTGTGCGAGGGAACACAATCTGCCTCACATTTTTAGTCAGAGCAGCATAATATCCTGGGGGGAGGAGAGAGAAGAAATAGTTTCCTACGGCCATAATCAGAGCTCCCGCCGGCACACAGTGAATGAATTTTGCTAGATATGTAAACAACAGAAATAAGACGTTTTCCTGCTGAGAAAGAGACGCTTGGCCTGGGAAGATTCCCAGGTGTGTTCCTTTTGTGAAAATGCACTAAGATGTATATTTATGTATATGTGAGCCAGCGCACATGCTCTCCCATATGTATGTTTTTGATAAAAAATAAAACATATGAAGGAGTAAGATTATTATTATTATTATTTTTTATTCTTTTTTTTGGGTACGTGCCCCTAGCGGGAACTGAACCCGGGACTCTCTGGTCCGCAGGCTGAGGCTCCAACTGCTGAGCCAAACTGGCCAAGGTTGAAGGAGTAAGATTATTTACAGTCTCTGTTTCTAATGTCATCTGTTACTCGTTTTTCTCTATAGCAAGAAGCAAGGATTTTCTTTTTGTTTTTTTATCCTCGCCCGAGGACATTTTTTCCACTTCTTATTCAGATAGAGTGGGAGGGAGAGAGAGAGAGAGAAACATCGACGTGAAAGGGACACATCGAGTGGCTGCCACCTGCGTGACCAACCAGGGCCGGGGACAAACCACAACCGAGGTACATGCCCTTAGCGGCAACCGAACCCGGGTCTCTCCGGACCGCAGGCCGATGCTCTAACCGCTGAGCCAAACTGGCCAGGGCAAGAAGCAAGAATTTTCTTGAAATCTGTTTTATAAACAAATGTTTAAGACACTTGTAAAATACATTTTTATTACTGCTTTTTTGTTCCTAGGTCTAAATCAAAGTCATTCTGGTCTTTTGCTGTTGTTCAGCCCTGTGTTTTATCACTTTGCCATTTATGCCTCAGTAGAGTTCTAGTAATAACCCCATTTGAACTAAAGACAAACGCGTTATCAAACTACACAGAGACCAGTTTGGGGGCGGGGCTGATGTGTGACCTCATTCCATCGAACATTTGAGGAAACAGCAGTCCCCCAGGAATGATGGGACATTGGCGTCCTGTGTACACGAGGCTTGCGACCTTGGGCAGGTGATGGGCATGTACGGGCTGTGCTCTCCCAGCAGCGCAAGCCACCTGTCCTGCCCCACGCACCCCACTGCCCCCCAGGGTAGCCCACGGTCGTCACCCAGATCTGACGAACAGCGTGGTCCGCAGCACGTGCGCAATCCCTCTGAACTCCAAGTGGCTTCTCTATAAAAGCGGGAATGAAAATATTTACATTATAAAACTGTTGCAAGGATTTCAATTACATAGCTAGATGTCTCTGCCATAATATTTAGCACATTGAGATGTTCAAAAGATGAAACACTCCTTTCTATTCTTTACCTTTTTAGGCAAAAATACCTCATCTGTGCTATAGCTTTGCCGGTCTGTGTCGCCGTGAGCTCCTGCAGGCACGGAGGACCTGGAACCAGGGAAAACGACCCAAGACAGCTCTGCGCTCGTGGAACTTACATTCTGGAAGAGAGGCCGACAATAAACACAAAGTATGCAAATTACAGAGTGTGTTAGAGAGCACTAGATGTTTCATTAAAAAAGTCAGGGAAGCTCCTTGACATCCGCCTTGGTGATGATTTTGGGATCTGACACCCAACACAAAGGCAGCAGAGGAGAAGTAATCAAGCAGAAACCACATCAGACTAAAGAGCTTCTCACAGTGAAGAGAACTAGCCACACAGTGGAAAAGGCAACCTAGTGAAAGAGAGAAAATACTTGCAAATCATACATCTGAGAAGGGCCAACAGCCAAAATATACAGAGAACTCATACAACTCAATAGGAAAGAAACAGACACTCCAATGCATAGACTTTTTTTTTCTCAAGGAAACATACAGGTGGCCAACAGATTTATGACAAGGTTCTCAACATCCCTAATCGTCAGGGAAATGCAAACCCATACCACAATGAAATAGCACCTCGCACCTGTCAGAATGGCTATTCTTTAAAAAGACAAGAATTGACAAGTGTTGGCGAGAATGTGGAGACAAGGGAACCCTTATGCACTGTTGGTGGCTTTGCAAGTTGGTGTGGCCACTGTGACAGACAGCATGGAGTTTCCTTGACCACTTAAAAATAGAACTGCCATGTGATTCAGCCATTCCACTTCTGGGAAGCTATCTGGAGGAAACAAAACCACTACTTCAGAAAGATACACGTATCCCCTTGTTCACTGCAGTGCCATTCACAATTGTCAACACATGGAAAAACCCCAGTGGCCATTGGCGGATGAATCGATAGACAACACATGGTATAGCTGTACAGTAGAACACTACTCAGCCATTAAATAGTGTAAAATCTTGCCATTTGCAACAGCATGGATGGACCTTGAGGGCAACATTCTGTGTGAGATCAGTCCACGGAGAAGGGAAAGGATGTGGGGGGAGCAGGTTTGCGAGGGAAAGTCAAGATTCCTGTCTTGGAACATGTTGCCTTGGAGATTTCTTCTCTGGACCCTTCAGACATGCTGACTCAGCACAGAAATGAAACACAGGGTTTCTGCTGTCGCCCTGATGAGGTTCATCGTCACCTAACCCCAGAAGAGATGCCGACCCCCCAATCCTTTACATTGTGAATGCCTATCGAGATGAGGGAAGAAGCTGAATTGAGCGGATGCTGTTTATAATATCTAGTGTTTAGTTTGTATCCTGCCATCCATTTTCCAGGAAATTGACTGAACTTGTCTTCTTGGTGGACTACGGGTCTACTTAAAGTCTTCCTTCAGCCTCTCCCACCAAAATCCCACAAAACAACAACAGAAAACAAACAAACAGGAAAACTCCCTGCTGCCCTTACACGGAGGCAGGGCACCTAACTGAGTCCTAGCCAGTGAAACAGGAGAGAAAGGGGGTGTCTCTTTCCCAGGCCCGGTCCAAGAAACCTTTGACTAGGTGGAGACTAGCTTGGCCACACTGGAAAAGACACGTCGAGAATATTGGAGCCCAGTTGGAAGAGCCCAGGGTCTCTGAACCTCTGCTCAAAGGAGACAGACCCCGTGTCCAATAAGAGCTCCCGTTTTGGACCTGACGTGGGTGGGCTGAACGTGTCTACGGTATTTGAACTGTCATAAAGGTGTACGTTTATCTGTTAGAGCAGCCAGACCGTTTTCTTCATTGTTCAAAACGTCAGGGGCAGACTAATCCAATCCAAGTCAGATCCCCGTAGTTTCCACCTTAGCTGTCGGAGGTCAATGGAGTGACGTTGCGTAATTGAATGTGACGACGAGAATGACAGTCACATGTTGTCACTGACTGGTCCAGCGGCTACAAGCTACAGGGGCTATTCGAACTTAACGTGACTGCGGTGACATACAGTGAAAAACTCAGTGACCGGGCGGCACCAGTGGGGACCGCAGCACAGACCGGGCATCTCTGTCCTCGCAGTTCTACCAGACGGTGCCGTCCACGGAGAAAGAGAACCTGTCACACCGGTCATTACGCTCCTAGATCACTGACACACCTCGCTTCTGCGACCGATTTCTTCTTTTCCACGGCTTCTCAAAGCCCTCAGACTTGACGAGAGCCGTGCTCCTCTTGTAACGGGCTGGCTGGGTCCGAGTCTGCGGCCCTCTGAGAGCCAAGGCAAGGGGCAGCGGGGGCTCGACCGCGCAGCCAGTTCGCGCGACGAAGCCAGCTGCCTGGAAGGCACCGGGGATGAGCCACGCAGCCGTGCAGCTTCTGGTGAGGAGAATGTCCTTCCCGGAGGGCCCCTAGAACTGTGGCTAGTGTGTGACTCACCAGTGGGGTGATTAGCCTGCAAATAGTGTAAATAGAAAAAAAATTAGAAACAGCAAATATAATAGGACGTAGGTCAATTGCAAAGCATTTGTTCACAATGCCACCCAGCCGCTGCGGAGGATGGCTTTGTCCTGGCTACGGCCACACCCACCGGACGCGGTCCGTCCTTCCAGGCATCTCCCGTGTCCGGGTCCCAGCACCGCCGCGAGCCCTTCTCCGGATACCAACCGCTACGCAGAACTTTCCATCTGGAATCCCTCTCTCCAGCCTAATCAGAAAATGACCAATTACATCCGAGTGGGTTTCCAAGGCAACGCACAGTGTCAGCTGTTTAAGTGTCCAGAGCAGGTCCGATTTCCATTCCGAATACTTCTGACCCCGTTTCGGGGGGTCCCTGTCATGAGATCTCTCCCGGTTACTGTCTTCTCATCTTCAAGCCGCAGTTGAACCTGTCTTCGTTTCCCCCAAACACAATGAAGCAAGTATTACTGTGTTAGGACTCACAACGACAAGCGAAAATAAAAAGGTGTCTGCACACGAACGCAGACGTAATTCACTGCAGTGTTTAATCTCTGTCTTTTTAAAACAAACTCCAGCTTTGAGAGGAAGACTGCAGGAAATAGAAAAAGGAAGCAACCTCTCAGATGCTTCCAAACAGAGTCGGGACATTGTAAACCGAAGGTTTGACCGTTTAACCGAAAACTTCCACTTTTCCTCCCCGAGCGGTCCCGAGTGTTATGACTTGCTATGAGTTGTTCATACATTGCACTGGAAGAGCATCAATTTCATCTTGAGTAGAATTAGTGGAGAATATTTACAGTGTATTTAAGGGAATCTCAAATCATTTGGGCGACTTACTTTGAACCAAGCGAAAAGCGAACATTAAGAATTATAATTTCTAATGGTCCTTCTTAGGCTGCCGTGTCCAGTCGCTGCTGGTCATCCACCTGGCTAAAACGGGGGTAAGGGTCAATGGGCCAACTGGGAAGGACTTTGAGCTCCTGCAATGACCTAATTTCGGACACATTTCTCTTTAATAGAAGGAGAGCGGCAGTCTTTTCCAGAGGTAAGATGTACTGTGGTGCTGAGCGTGGGGATGTGACGATTGTGCTGGAAAATGAAGTAATGACAGGCTGGACGGAGAACTAGCACATGCTCCGATGTCTTTCCTGACCAGGGGGATGGATGGAGGAGGAAAAGACTGGACAAAGTGCGCCGGAAGGCCATCTGGGGCCGAGCTAGGAACCTCCTTGGAGAGACACTGTGAAGGAAAGAGGAATCAGGATACAAATGTATCCCTGTAACAAAACGTCGGTGATTGGAGTTGACTTTCAGCTGTGTGTGCCGCTGTGCGGGTCTGGCTCCGATTTTGTTTTGGGGGGAACGAGAGATGTGTTCTCTGCACGTCCGGTTTGCACTTAAAAAAAGATAAAAGTCTTTGTGATGTACTTTGGTGGATTACGACACTTTGCTGCTCCTTAATTGGGCCCATATGGTCAGTGTCGTTCATGGTCAAAGGAACAGACTGACATGACCACATAGATACCTTCCAAGTCCTTCCTTCGCTAGATGACACCCGTCAATGAAATCAGACAACCTCCAGACCCTTGATCTGCGCGTGGACACGCTGGCTAGCCAAACGTGGTCTCTCCTTTGAGAACAGCGACAACACTATGTAATTAAGACACTGTGAGAACCTAGCATGGGGCATCTCATCTCACGGGGCACCGGTCAGGAGAGCCTCCTGGACAGATTTAAGCAGACAGCTGCATGACAGCCGAGTCAGCCAGGTACGGGGGGTGTGGAGAAAGCATCACACCTGTGAAGAAGAGCGTGGGCCAGGGCCCCGGGGCAAGAACGAATGCCCTGTGCCTGGAGCACAGAGGGCCCCAGGGCCTGCAGTAGGTGGGGGAGGACAGAGGCAGGGACCAGATGGCCGAGGGCTCTGTCTGCCGGGGTGAGGGTTTTAACTGTATCCTAAGAGAAAGGGGAAATCATAAAGTGTCTCGTGTAGGGAGTACCACTATTAGAGTTGCCTTATGACGAGCCCACTTGGGCTGTTTGATACGGTGCCTAGATTTCCAGGTGGCCAGAATGGATGTGGGGAGCCTATTATCTCAACCAGACCAAGAGACATTGGTGACCTTAGACGAGACTGAGTTCTCAAACTGCTGCCCACGGGCCCCTCGGGCCCAGAGATACTCTCGTAGGACTCGCAAGGTAAACGTCATTTTCATGGTGACACTAAAATATTGTTCGCCCTTTAAATTGTTTAGATATTTGCACTGATTCTGTAAAAGCAACAGTAGGTAAACATCTGGAAATGTAGCGCGAATTAAGGCTACAGTCATTAAATTTTTCACCTCGACACGTTCTCTGACAAACTGCATTTTATTGAAGGATTCCCTTGAGGAAGCAGGAAACTGATCAGTTCCATGAACTCGCACCCCTGAATACACACCTGCTGGGACGGAGTGACAGAATGGTGACACCTGCGGCTGAAGCAGCTCAAAGTCGTTGCGGGAGCAGAGGTCACATGCTAATGAGCAGAGAGAGAGCAGATGCTCTGAAATCCATAGAAGGAAAGAGATACAGTGAGCGGGCGCATATGGAAATGTATCTGTGGGCACTGTGAGTCACTCTGCAAACCGCTGAGCCCCCAGCTGTGCCTGTGACGTACTCCTAAACAGGCCGCAGGGTGACGCAGGAAGGTCATTGTCCACTGGGCACCACCAGCCGTGTGCAGTGCGGTCACAGGGATCAGGAGAACGGCATGGGCACCTCTTCCCAACTCCAGGTTCAGTCCTGTCAGGTTGGCAGCTGGAAATCAAACACAGCAGCCGTGTTTACACCACGTTCATTGGCATGTGCTACCAACCAGGCCTCTTTTTGCTACTCTCTGAGAGACAGCTGTTAAACGCCGACCAGCATGCCTCTGGTGCTGGCCAGGTCTCTGTATTCTGTCCCCTCTCATGTTCCCAAGACAAACCATTGGCTCTCTCCATGAATCCTCATTTATTTCATAATATTTGCTTTAAAACAGGATTTGAAAGAATAGTTGGCATTGTTAAAAGGTAACTATCTGGTTTATGTGTGTCAATAAATATCTGTTGAATATTGAATATTGATTGAATACAATGTGGGTCAAAAGACGATCATAACTGCTTTTGAGATAATTTGTTGTCTGCCTTCCCAAAGCACGTATTTGAATATAGCACTTACATCATATTCGAGCTATTTGTTTGCATGTAACTGCCAAAAACCAAGCCGTTGAGACAAGCAGTAACGTCCCCGAGT